TATAGTCTGGGCGAATGCCCAGAATAAGCGGTCCAGGATTAGCTCACCCGGGTTCATTGGGTTTGGACGTTCTCTCCGCCAAACTTGAGTCCCCCTATTAGCACTTGCTATTTGATGAAGCATTCTAGGGGCATAAGAATATGCCTCCTCATAGGTACCATACAAGTTCTTGAATATATTTTCCTTCGCATGCCTAGCCTTGCTGTAGCTAACAGGGAATCCAATTAGATCCTCTGCATCTTTTTGCAGAGCCCTAACACTAATGTTGAGACTTCCCTGCACAATTGTTTCCATCGTCTGTGCCACAAATTTTGCTATCACATTGCAGTGATCTGAAAGAGTCCCAGTTTGCTCACAGGTATGCTCCACTATTTTTGTGATATGCCATGACTGACATACCCCAGGCTTCAGTCTAGCGAGAACTCTTCCGCGGCAACCTTTCGCGGTGTGGATGCATATGACCTTCAACTCTTTTTTATCAGACTGCTTCACTCTATGCTGGCGGTGGATGCCGATTGCATAGCTACCCATTGCCTGGTAAGCAGACTTCTTATCTGGGAAAACTTGCCCAACCTCCAGGCTTCCCTCTCCTAGGCCAGAAGCAGAGTGAAATTCGTTGGTGATGCTCATATCCTGTAAAAACCCAGGTTGCAGTGCCGCCGCGACCGCCCTCTGAGGAGGAACATCTTCTTCTCCGCTTGACTCCGAAGACGCAGAAGAATGATCATCATCATCTAGCGCCTCCGGCAATCCCTCCACGTGTTCGCTCATGTCAACGGCCGCCGACCAATATCCTGTGTCATACACAGGCTGGCCGCCCGTCGGTTCCGATGGGCCGATGCTAGGGGCTGATGTGATGGCCAACTCGACCTCACCACCCCTGCTACTGCATCCGGCAACATCAGTGACTGAAATGAACTCCACATACACCATCGGCTGACCATACATTGAGTTATTGGGATTGCTTGCAAACCTCATGTACGACCCCCACGACCGATCACCTGTGACAGGCCGCAAACCCCAACGGGCAACTGTCCCATCATTTCCTCCGTCAACGACGAAGGCCTCCATTGTCATTTTTTTTCCTGCATCACTGGGCCAAACACCGCTCGGATGCACCTTCTAACAGCTGCGTAACCCACGTTGACCATGTCTCTCACCACTACTGTAGTCGACTCACAGAAGGACACATCCACCCCGCATGGACCGTCGCGTAAGACGTTCCCATAGTACACTACTAAATTTTCCATAGTACCTAAGCAACATACATGTTTACATTTCAAATAATTAGTAACTGAACATTTAGTAACGATGACAACATTTACATATCTTATGACTAAAATAATAACCGTATTTTCGTTATAAATATTCGGTTTGTTTTTAGAATCATTTGCTTAGACTTTAAGGGGTTGTTTGGTTAACGGGTATTTAAAGATCTATTTTTCTCAAATTTGTCTATGAGCGTAACAAACTAAAACTCTGTTTGCTTTTCTCTAACTACCCCAAAAATATCCTAAAATAGTTCTCGTAACATGCAAAAACTTAGCTTCTGGAAAAACGACTTTTCGTAAAATATGGTTTTCTACATAATTTCCTTACAACAGGTTATGACAAAACTGAGGGTAAGTACTCGCTATCCAAACAACCACTAAACATAATATTACGATAATAACATTTAAATATCATATGAGTAAAATATCTAATTTCTTCCGGCATGATATAATGTTTTTCATATCATACGATAAATTTCATTTATTTACAAATAATAATATTTGCAGCGGCATGACAGTACATCAATATAAAAAATATTAACAAAATTACGGCGTCATTTTATACCTTAGGTCCAATATGGATGTGCTTGCAAATGCAATTAAGCGTCCAAATAGTTCGAATAAATATCCGTCACCAGTAAAATATGAACAGAATCAACCTATTATCACATGAACATCAATATTACACACGGATTTTTCTTTCTGCTATCAAAAGTATGAAAATAACACTTGCATGTATGTGGTCATCATCTCAAAAGGGATAGCGAAGATGGTAACACAATTTATTCAATCACGTCATCTCCTCCTTGTTTGCTACTAAGATGAATTATTTTACCTAATTACATTTATCATTAAGTACATTACCACCTAATCTTAACATATAAAATTTAGATTATTGTGACATAACAAAGTAGACCTACGATTTCCTAACCATAGACTTATTAATAAACATACCACATGAAATATCATACCACATGCAATGAAAAATTACAGTGTAATTTTTTCTTAATTACCGTATTAAGAGCTTCTCGCATGTCAATACAAATGTATGCAACTAACATTGATACAACATCTTCAACCTACTCTTATCAAAAAAATAGTTTAAATGTTGTATCCGTTGTTTGAATTTTTTCCGAACATCTAAGCACTAACATCACATAGCTAATGACGAGCTAAATGACTAACTAATTACCACCGTGCATCACAAAAAAATCCATGTATTGCAAAGCTCATACCTTGATCTCCCCCTTCGTACTTCACTTAGCACGGCAAATCCTACTCCAGAAACTCCAAATGACTCCTCCAAGTGCTGAAATAATGCCTAAAACAACATAGAGTACACACTTAGGAACTAATCAAACAGAACTAAAACATCATGCATGCAAACAAAACCAACAAAAATGGATAGATCTTACCTTAATCTATCTTTTCTTCAACTTCACCATCTTCGAAAACCAACTCTAAATCGGCCAAAATCACGAGTGAAAGTAGCTACCAAGTATTTCCTTCTGTGTATTCTTCTAGACTTAGACAGAGTAGAGAGGCAGTGAAGGCAAGGAGAGATATTCGAGAGAGTGTATGCGCAGCCGCGGTTGTGCGTATATAAAGAAGAGGAGCACTGTATTGTCGGCAGAACGACATACACTCAGCTACCGCAGCCTCGGATTCCAGCATTGCGTTGTCTCATCACACGCAGCAACTAGACCGCTCTCGGGTGTCGGCAAGAAGCGGAAATCACGCAGGCTGCGGGAATCAGATTCCAATTTACAAAGCATCTGCGGAAATCACGCGCTGCAGCAGGCCGTCCAAATTAGCGCCGTCAGGTCGCTGTCATAGAAATCAGCGCCGTTGAAATCAGCGCCGTCAGGGCTGTCGGGCCGCATGCGCGCTGCCGCCTCAGCCGGTGGCGGCCGGGCCCGCGCCTCGCTTCCCGTGAAGATGCTGCTGTCGGCCTGGGCGCGGCATGGGCAGCAGCGGCCGCCTCAGCCAGTGGCGGCGTGGCCCACCTGGCCTCACCCGTTCCGTTGCACTGTGCCGAATCCGTTGTGCACCGCGCGGCCGCCTCCTGCGGTGGCGGCGGGGCCCGCCGCCTCCTGGTGTGGCGGCAGGTGCCACGTGTCGCCTGCCGCACCTGCCGCCACTAGTTAGGGGGTCCTTTTTGACGTTTTTATCTGCAGATAGTTTTTTTTGATAATAGCGTTCGGCAGGGGGTCCTTTTGGACAAAAAATCTTCAAAACCCACGCCGAAGGAAAGAAAGAAAGAAAGGAAAACAAAACCTTCCCTGCTGCGCGCAGACGGACGCAGGACGCAGGACGTCGTACGTGCGATACGAGAGCAGGGGAGTTGGTGGCGGGCGGGAGGGCCGATGTTGGCGAGGGTGGTCGCGGCGGCCGTCCTGGCGCTCGCCGCCGTCGTGGCCTCGGCGTCCGCGGCGGCGGCCGGCGACGACACGTATCCGGTGCGGTGGGAGGTCGGGTACATGACGGTGGCGCCGCTCGGCGTCTCGCAGAAGGTTCGCGTGCAAGGAACAACAACTGATCTCTCTCTCCCTCTCCCTCTGTGTGTGTGATGTTGATTCCGTCTTCGGGCATGTTCTTGTGTTCTTGAAACTTCAGCAAAAAAAAGGTGTCCTTTTGAATCGTTGTTGACGTTGTTTTGAGGAACTCGTGTTGGAAATGCTGCCTTTGCCTGTTTTCCTTCTCCTTCCCCCCGTGTTGCTAATTTCGCGGCCTCGAACGCACGATCCCGTCGTGCTGCCTTCGGTTCCTCTTGCAGGGGGGCGTTGATCTGATGGATTTTTGTCTTAATTGTTTTCAAGGAATTATTTTATCGTTGTAGGCAAAATAAATAAATATTTCTACGTGGGTTTTTGTCTTAATTTGAGACAGAGTGACGGCCTTAAATCTCGAAATAAATCTGTAGCGGCATCGCGATTTTCTTGTCCTAAAAATAGCAAGTTGCCCTATGTGTACTTGACTTTTCATAGATCATCAATCTTTTTGGGGGTTGGATTACTGCCTCTCTTTCTCGAGGTTCTAGCATTAATTTCTTGGAAAAATTAGGTTTTGTTTTTACATAAAATTCGTTTGTTCGTTTACTCATGCCAAGTAGGAGTATTTTTTCTGCAGCTCCCTTCAAAAAGAAAGGGATTTTTTTACATAATTTATTTATTCATATCCGGTGTGGATGCAAAATTACAAGTAGATGATAAAATCTTTTTTTGCAGGTGATTGCAATCAACAACCAGTTCCCTGGGCCACTACTGAACGTGACAACCAACTGGAACGTGAGGGTGAACGTCCAAAACAACCTGGATGAGCCTCTCCTCCTCACCTGGTTTGTATTCTACCATCCCAGATTCAAAATAATTATTTATTCTGCATCGCAATTCTTTTCCGTTCTTTAGCTATATATATGTTGGAATGTGCACAAATTTGTGAACATGGCGTGCGAATGAAGGAAATGTACAGCTACATCTTTAGTAGTTTCTGTTATCTGTGACGAATTCCCATCTTTAGCTGTAGTCCCATTTGCATGGTCGCAGGTACTATTAGGCATTGTGTCACGCAAATGCTTTCTCTATTTGGGGACGTTTATAAGCTTATTAATACGATCATGCCATGGCATAACCATATGTGCACATCACTATGCTTTTTCCCATGGATTTGCTCAGCTCATCTGTGGACAATTCTCTGTATCATTAGCCCATGCATTTATTGTTGCAGAAAATGTTAACTTCTTTCACTGTCTCTGTAGTTTTGTACAGCCCTTTCTTTCAATACGTATTTCCTGCACATCTAGTAAGCGCTGTTCTACATATAACAAACAACACGTCAACACTTGAAATGCTTACTCATAAGTAAGTTTGGAGATGGTAAAATGCTACTTCTCGAGGGCCCTTTCTGCACATTCCAACATTTAAATGCGCATATGGAGGTCATTGCGCGCCAATTCTGATCAAGTGAATAACTGGGAGTGCTCTCATCTCATATGTATGGCTGGCAGGGATGGCATCCAGATGAGGATGAACTCATGGCAGGACGGCGTCGCCGGCACCAACTGCCCAATCCCTCCCGGATGGAACTGGACCTACCAGTTCCAGCTCAAAGACCAGATCGGAAGCTTCTTCTACTTCCCTTCGCTCGGCCTCCAGCGGGCTGCGGGCGGCTACGGCCCTGTAACCGTCAACAACCGCGCCGTTGTGCCCGTCCCCTTCAACCAGCCTGATGGCGACATCACCTTGTTCATTGGAGATTGGTACACCAAGAGCCACACGGTAAGTCCTGATTCTTCGGTTGCAATATTCAGTTTAGTTTTTTTCTTTTTGCGAAAAATGTTCAGTTTATTGTCTGTCAGTGTTTCATAAATAGTCTGAGAGAACACTGAGTTCTTGACCCCTGACACTGTCTTTCTTGATTCCTGGCAGAAGCACAATACCATATAGAGTTGATACGTATTGTTCTTCTGGCAAGATATAGAGAAAATCAATCTAGTATTGATTAGAAATTCATTTCCCAGTTTATTCTTGCCTTAGACCGATAATAATTGGCAAGGGAATAATATGTTTTTACAGCAATAAATACAAGTATATCATCCAATGAGTTGTCTGATCCATGGACTGTGATTTTCTTAAACACTTTGCCTTTGTGCTTGAGAGGTGCTCTCTGTCACTTGCAGGAACTGAGGGACATGCTAGATGATGGCAAGGATCTTGGGATACCTGATGGGATTCTGATAAATGCAAAGGGCCCTTACAGATATGACACCACACTGGTTCCAGAAGGCCTTCAATATGAGATTGTTGGAGTTGAGCCAGGTAACTTGTCTTTGATCACAAAAAAGAATGACCTTCGAATCTGCACTTGTATATGTGCCCAACTCTCATATTTTCTGGATTATTGTATATTCCTGGTTTAAGCTAGTTATGCATACCAAGTTGTAGTCGACAGCAATTCAATGTCTCCAGGTATGGTGAATATAATTATGAACTGTTTGAGTTAGAATTTGGCGAAAATGTGACTAGAAAATGAAGTGTATCTAATGCTGAGCACAATAGTATGGCATATTATCCTTGTTACAAAATGGTCAGATTTATTACATTTCTTAGTGTGACTTGGAAATTGCACGAGTCAAGGAAACAAGATTAGAAAATTCTAGCTACACTAGGATATCAGTGTCAAGATTGTTAACATACACCTTCCTGATAGTTATTAGCACCACTGCTCCCGAACTCTTTATCATATGAAGTATAATACTCCAAAACCCCAATGCTCTAAACAGGCAAAACATATCGCTTCCGCGTTCACAATGTTGGCACCTCAACCAGCCTGAACTTCAGAATCCAGAACCACAACATGCGTCTCGTAGAGGCTGAAGGAACATACACTTATCAGCAGAATTACACCAACCTCGACATACATGTCGGACAATCATATTCTTTCTTGGTGACCATGGACCAAAATGCAAGTACAGACTATTACATCGTGGCAAGCCCGAGGTTTGTGAGCAGCGAAGCTCGCTGGCACGATGTCAATGGTGTAGCAATCCTGCAGTACTCAAACTCCAAAGGCAGTGCTTCTGGCCCCCTCCCTGATGGTCCAGATGACTTCTACGACAAGTACTATTCCATGAACCAGGCAAGGTCTATCAGGTTAGTGACTGATGGGTGACTTGACAACATTGCTGTAATAATATTTTGTTCATGTAACTTAGGAACATGATTGTTCTTTACCATCAACTCTTGAAACTTGTCTCCATGATGAGTCCTTGCATTGTTGTTCCAGGATGAATGTGAGTTCCGGTGCTGCACGTCCAAATCCACAGGGATCATTCCGCTACGGCTCGATCAACATCACGCAGACCTTTGTGTTGAAGAATGAGTCACCCTTGCGCATTGACGGGAAGCGTCGAAAGACGATAAACAGAGTGTCGTACTCACCTCCTGAGACTCCACTGAGGCTTGCTGATCTCCACAACCTTACAGGGGTCTACAAAACTGACTTCCCCACAATGCCAAGCAATGCGCCACCAAGGATGGCTTCATCTGTGCTAAATGCTTCTTACAAGGGCTTCCTCGAGATGGTCTTCCAGAACAATGAAACCGATGTTCAGACCTACCATCTGGATGGTTATTCATTCTTTGTAGTCGGGTATGCAACATTCTTTGTAGGATACACTTTGCATAGTCTTTAAACCAGCGAGTAGTTACTCATGTAAATGGGCACTGTCATGTTGTGGAATTCCAGGATGGACTATGGTGAGTGGACGCCAAACAGCAGGGGTTCATACAACAAGTGGGATGCCATCTCTCGCAGTACTACACAGGTAAAAGACATCATCTGACCATCATGTGTCAAAGCCATACTACACTTGTGAAGACAAATGCATTCATGGTCATTCTGATACACAATTTTCTCTCTTTTTTCTTTTCTTTTTCCATTCCAAATCAACATCAGGTCTTCCCGGGAGGGTGGACTGCTGTTCTGGTGTCGCTCGACAACGTAGGCATCTGGAATATACGTGCCGAGAAGCTGGACAATTGGTACAATGGGCAAGAGGTTTATGTGAAAGTTGCTGATCCACTGGGCTACAACGTCACCGAAATGATCGCTCCAAACAACACTCTCTACTGTGGTCTGCTGGAACACTTGCAAAAGTATGTCCTGAGCTGAAACACTTGATTTATCCTCTACTGCACCCCTGCTCTTGCGCTGCAATTTCTTACTGTGCCTTTTTATTGTGAAAACCTTTCAGGCCACAGATACATGAGACAAGCAAGAAGTCATCAGGGCATGCCGTGGCTCGATGGAGCACCCAGCTTCTCGCAACCGTGTCACTGATTGTCACAGCTGTGATTTGCAGTTAAATTTGACAAATTGCTAAAAGTTGTTAGTTAGGAATTGTGGGGATTGATAGAACATACATGGGGACGTCAACCATATACAGACTGTAACAGGATGCGTTTTAAATTTTCCTACAGATTCTAATGGTGACTATTAAGTTCCTGAGAAGCACTTTGCGCAAAGGCCAAAGTATTTATACTTGGAAATGAAACGCTGTTAGTTTCTTTACTTGTACGTGTTCTCTTCTAGTCCTTGATGCTTGATTTACTGGTGACTGCTGCTAACCTATGAGCAATTGGAATTTAGACTGAATTTTCTGCATGATGAATGCATTTGCATAAATATGTATACCCGAGCAGTGCAACAAATGCAATTTCATTGATGGATATACTCGTGGACATGTTTTCATCGATCAGTTGTTAAGTAGATTTGGCACTTGTAAACCTGTTTGTTAAGAAAAAGGAAACTCACATGATCAGGCTTTAGAAAACAAGATGACCTTGTTTATTCCTGTCAAAGTAGCGGACAGTGGAAATGTGCTGGACTCTTGCCTTATCCTTGCCCTGGATAACCTGCCTCCATGAACTCATCACGCCTGTCCACAAGCATCAGATTTGGCAAGACACGAATCCTCAGCTGTGTCAAGCTGTCGAACTGTCCTATAAGATCAATACTCCATCCGTTCACAAATAGTATAAGATATTCTAACTTTTTTGTTATTCGGATGTATATAGATGCATTTCAGTGTGTTTCTTCACTCATTCTAGTCCGTATGTTAGTCCATACTGAAATATCCAAAACATCTTATATTTGTGAACGGAGGGAGTACTTATTAAGAGTTTGCATCTCCATCGACACCCACACTCCCTTTCGACCTCTCAACGACTCCGAATAGAGGAGGCAAGTAGGTGCCTTAGCCTCCTTTCAGTTTCTGCAACTCAAGAGCCTCATCTTCACTTGAAGCAACTTCTTTGATTCGACTGCTTATGACCACCTTATTCCATTGAAATTATTGTGGCCTATTAAGCCTTCTAGTTCTAGGTCCATCCAAACATCTGTATTCTTCAAATCATCGAGTACAAGCATGCATTCTCTGTTGCAATGTTCACCCAAGGATTTCTACGAGATCTCTCCCGCTAATTGTATCAGATGGGCATGCACCTTTCAGGATGTTCCGAATCATCTTCCCTTATGATCGCATACACATCCAACTTCTGTGACACTGTGATCCAAATATGACAATCAAAGCAGTCAAGTCTTTATGCTCTCATCTTCACAGATGTCATTGACAAGAGTGGTTATCATAGATCGTCCCATGCATGCCCCAAAGGGTGATGACCGAGGTCCAACTTGTTCTTGCAGCTAACCATTGTATCAGCATTATTTTTCTCCTTCAATGCCCACCGTCTCATCAGCTGGGTAAGGAAAGATAAAGAGGAGTCTTCAGTGTTGGTTGAAACTCTACTACCACCAGGCAGTTGAATCTCATACTGAACACGCAAATTCCGGAGATTCCACAGTCGTAAGCAATAAAAAATATCACATTGCGCTTTTAAGTCTACAAGCTTTACTTATTCAAAAGCTAGATTACATTTCTACAACAGAGGAACATAAATATACCACACTTAGTCCTTCAGTTCGAGTAACTTAAGTTACTCAACTGAACATTGGTGACCAGCTGAGTGGTTAGTGATTAACACATTCTCAAAACACAACAGCGTCGCCATTTTCTGGCCCGTCAATTTCCTAAAAGAAGAAAAACGATGCAAAATTTTGGTACATCATACATGGGCGACTAATTGATACACCCACTTCTGGAAGATCTTGTCGCAATCGGCAAACAAACTGTCAACATGCGTTGTGAGAGCATATGCCATCTGCTGGCTTGTACCAGGCATGCTGTCGCCTCCTCCAGAAGAAACAAAAGAAAATGCATAATGCGACAGAGATATGATGAGTCCATTAACTCAAGACCATGGTGATACGCCTGCTGCGTGATTGTATTAGTAGCTGCTGAGCGACTCCATTGACTCAGGCGTACAGGTGTGTTTTTTCATTTCTGATGTGGCGATAGATGATCTGAGGAAACTCTTATCTTATCCATGTCTCCATGGTGATTAGTACTCTACATCCAAAGCTGTCATCCTTTTTATGCCAAAAAATGCTGCCATCATTTTGCCTGATTGCCTAAAAGCAGTTTGACTTTCAAGAGCTTGACCTTGGCAAGGGAAGTTTACAACATCTATGGAGTACACAGTATGTTGCAAAGTCAGTCATCTTCTAGCTTTCGACAAATTGTCATCCCGTCCCCAATTGGCACCTACAAAGGTGCCCACCCTTTGTTAATTAAGATCAAGTACTAGATAACACATGAGAAGGATGATGCGCTGAATCATAGTATAAGCATATCAAATAAAATTTTGAAACAGCTGAACAAATACAGATATACTATGCACAAAGTAAAATACTCCCTCCGTCCCATGATATAAGATCGTTTTGCAAGCTATATGATGGGGCGGAGGGAGTAAATCCTAAGGTCCACAAGATATGTATGACAGCAGTATGAACATGCCACAATATCAGGAAAATAAATTTCTGAAATTTGGTTATGTACTGCACTGGCACTGCAATACTACGACACATCATTGCTGGTGCCCCTCACATGCTCTAAACAACAGACTAAAGTACAGATATCCCAAGACTTTACAACCAACAGTTGAAAATGGTGACTAATAAGTAAACAAGTGTCAAAAAACATCTTATATTTTCATATGGAGGGAGTATGAGATAGACAAGACGTATGAGAGAGAGAGAGAGAGAGAAAGAGAGCTACCATGCTGATAGTGACACGTTTATCCTCCAAAAGTTTCTTATTGAAATCCCTTATACTGATAGTCTTTGGGTCATTCACCTAAGGAAAAAATGCCAAAAGTGTTATCTAATCTAATATAAAATCTCCATGTAACACCTTTTTTATCATGTCAAAGCTCAAAAGAAAGGAAAAGAACTCACTAGTGGATCAGCAACCCTTCCATACCACAGGACATTGTCCATTACAATTAAACCACCAACTCTTACCTGAAACATAACAAACATAAATACATATATTTTATCTCATCATATAGAAAACATAAGACCCAAAGTGGTCGGACCCTTCCCCAGACCCTGCGCAAGCGGGAGCTACATGCACTGGGGCTGCCCTTTATATAGAAAACATAAATGCTACGGTCGCTGTATGGAAATTGTAGCTAAAATCATAAAAGGTTTGCCATGGGGAATCTTGTATGAAACTACGAGAGGATACTATGGCAAACATAAGCTGAAAGACTACAGGTATTATATCTGAACGAGCAAACCAAAATCTTACTAGCTTAAGTAGAAGCTCAAAATATTCCTCGTACATTCTCTTGTCTGCGTCAACGAACGCAAAGTCATAACTAGAAAAACAAATGATTAGTTAAAACATGCAACGATCAACTAATAAGATGAAGGGTTATACCATACAAAAGTTATTATACCTGGAAGCTTCACCACAGTCGAGCAATGACCTTAGGGAATCTACAGCTAAAGCATGCTTGACATCCACCTAAGCAATTTTTAGGCAGGTAAGAACAGAATCTAGCATACAAGACTACACATTAGTCCTTGAATACTGGTATGCTACACACTCTAGGGGATCCCAAAAAGAGACAAATTTCGATTGTGAGTTTTAGAAAATAAAAAGGAGGCAATTATTATTATTATTTAACCCTAGACCTACCTATGAAACAAATGTGATGTATTACATGTTGGTAATCCTAAATGCAGAAAGTATAGCTACATAAGTCCATACAAGGTTAAATAAATCTAATAACATAGGCGTGGAAAATAAATAATAATGAATAAAGGAGGGAGCAATGAAACTAAAAAGAAGGTTTCGTTGTCCTCCTCACTTCTGATTTTCCCTCCATTATCTAAATGGTTGAGAAATTTAATGTTAAACCACAAAATATGTTGTCCAACGTGCTGAAAATTACATGCAAATAACTTAAGTTTTCTTGCTATGGACCATCAAGTAGACTACAAATATATAGAATAATGTAGTTAAGTTGTTAGCACCAACTGATCATATCAAGCAAGAGGCTGAAAATAATTACCTTGTGTGCAACCCCAGCAAGCTGATAGTATCTCTTGGCAACTTCTAGACACCTTTCATCCCTTTCACAAGCAACCAAACGACCTGATTCAGGAAGTGCTAATGCGACAGCTAGTGACGAATATCCCTGCAAGAAGATTAAGCAATGCTAAAATAAGCTCAGTGCATTTCCAACAATCTTGTTACTTCTGTACAAGAGTATCTCCTTCACAAGGTATGAAATGATTATCAGTAAGTGCAGCACTTGACAAGTTGACATGCACAATGCACAATCCATGGGTATTATTGTCAAAATACTGTTCAAGGGAGGATGTAAAATCAGGCTTTCAGTACAGAAAAATACCATTTGAATACCATTCGAAGGTTTATTGTGCATATGCTTTTGGAAAAATACAGTGCCCAAAGATGATTTTCTGATTGACTTATGCACACTAGTTATTATTCACGCACTCTACGTTTGGTTTGCTAGGATAACGCATCAGCAATTAGTACAATAAGTATATACGTCAATACAGAATCCTTCGGTTACAAGTAATGATAAGCATTTACTTGCTGAGAGTGGAAGACAAGAAAATCCAGATTAGAAAACACTTGGCTCACATACAGTATAGACGCCAACTTCAATACATCGTTCTGCCCCAAGAATTTGCACAAGCATTGCCAGAAGCTGAGCCTGTGCCGGAGAAACCTAACAAGAGAAAGCAACCAGCTGAAAAATACTTGCCGTCATACTGAAATTTGGTAAAGTATCTACATATTTTTCAAGAATAAAATAGAGCTAAACAATGTACTATATCATCAAAACAAGACAGTGGTATACACATGCATTCCATGCATGCCCGGAATACACAAAAGTTTGAACTTGCTAAAATAGCAAGACCATATGGTTAACCGGACCATCAGTTTTTTCAAGCCTTAACGCATGAGTAGAGGATATAGCTGCCACAACAAGGCAGCTTAAGTTGCACTGTTGTGGATGCAATGCAGGTAGTCTTAGAATCAGATGCGTCACGCATGCACTGAGGCACGCACTCTCAACTCAATGTGAATATCCTAACCCAGTTGAGTTCATGTGTCATGTGTGCTGCCTGTGTACCTGCATCTGGCTCCCCCTCATGGATGCCGTCTCTTCCCGCAGATCCCGAAGCACCTAACGACCACACAGGGTAAGGGCAGGATAAACAAGCACACGATGGGTCAGAGCCGCGGCGAACAGCAGCGAATTTGTGAGAACGGAAAGGGGGAGGGGGAGGGGGCGGACGGGGTGCTCGCGGACGTTGGAGAGGAGGTAGTCGTAGAGCGGCGGGTCCATGCCCAGCTGCTTCCGCCCGCGCCGCGCCTCCTCTACCGCCAGTGCCGTCGTAGCAGCCGACGCTGCCGCGGAGGAGGAGCACAGGCTGCGGCGGCGGCGGGGGCGGCGGGGGCATGGCGGAGAGCAGTGGCCGAGAGGAGGGGGGGTGGCAGCGGAAGCCAGGGTTCGGGCTTGAGGAGGCCCGACGCCGAGTCCGAGAGTCGCGGACGCGAACGCCGCCGGAGGAAGGGAGGGGGATACGGCCCAGCGACGCATCGCGTTTGCTCTTTTTCTCCAGCACTCAAGCGGCAAGCTTTGGCTGACGAGACGCGGATTAGCTTAGCGTCTCCGAGCATGGTTTTCAAAATCGGACCCAAGGACGAACCGGTGAGCCTCCCAGTTTACGCTTTCATCGATCGAACCGTTTGTTCTTCGGTTTAATCACAGTGAGATATGTACACATACAAGGCATCTCCGACGGCGACCCGTAAATTTCCTCCTTCACGGACTGGACTAGAGCACGGACACAAATATAGAAGGCCGTCATCCAACGTGACCCGCATACATTTCAACCCGCATTTGAACTAACTGGACGAAATTCATGCAAATCAGCTGATATTCTCAAAATTCGGATAGAAAATAGCACAAATCATCCATACATAACATGCAAATTAAGTCTAGTATAACAATGTCTTATATTCGACTAGATTAACTGGTTGTCCAACATTTTTTTCATCAACAGATCATGCTCTCACACGCATACTCCTCCTTCAGCTTCATCCAATAGTGTGTACGTAAATCACTGTCCCTCTGTGATGTGGTACATCAGCAGCACGTGCAGGCTACATAATGTGTACACCAACATTGAGTGAACAAATCAATCAACAAGTTGAGCAAGAGAAAGCAAAACTTATGATCTCGTCCTCTGCCGCGTGCAATGGTCACCTTGCCTTCAGCTGACGAACCATGTTACAAAACTTGATGACACTGATCTGGATAGCGTACCAGCGATACGATAACGACCTTACGCTGCGTTGTTGAATGAGTACATGTCGTAAGGCGCAATGTGCTTTCGTGCGTGGTTAAACGATTCATGCACTTGATGCCAGAAGGCCTCCCTCCTCCTGCTTACGAACACTCCGCAGATACGACCAACTACGCATCGCACAACAACTCATCCTCCATGGTCGAGTAGCTCGCCATCCTTCATACTCTACAAAATGTCATAGCGTCCGAAAATAAGCTCAATGGCATTTGACTAAACACCTGCCAAGTGTGGTGTCCGCCATGAAGGTCATCTACAAGGGGCAGAGTGTACCTGGGTACAAACGGCTCCAGGGTGGACAGCGCCGTCGTAGAGACGAGCGGGCACGTTGCTGCTGGTTGCGGGCGTCCCGCAATGCCTATGTAGAGGACGGAGGCGTGCAACAGCGGCGGCGGAGGTGGAGGGTGCGGATCCACAAATTTACTCTCGCATCCGTCCGCAGATAGGGGGGACCAGTCCGCAAATATGGATGCAGAAGACAGCCGTCCACCCTGCCTGCATATATCTGGCCTCCCTCATTTTTTAAAGTCTGCACGTTCAAATAGCAGCATACATAGAGTTCACACGTTCAAATAGCTGCATACATAGAGTACATGCGTTCAAGAATCGTCTGCATCATCGTCGTCTCGTCTGTGTAGTCCTCCTCGTCGAATGAGCCGTCGGACGACACATTATAGTGCTCAGACATGTTCAAATCGGAATTCATTGCTAGAAAGAAGAAGGGAAAAATTTTTTAACTCCGGCAATTCATCGAACAGTTGCCGTGCATGGTGAGTATAGCATGAGCGGATGGTACCTGGCGGGGCGGTCGGAGGAGAGGGGTTGAATGGCGACGGAGGAGAAGCGAGGTGGAGCCCAACTGGAACGTTGGAGGTGACATAGACGTAGAGTTCCGGCAGGGGTGTGGCATGGCGGACGGGGTGGTGGAGAGGTGGTGTAAGGGCATATATATCTCTTAGTTGTTTTGGTGATTGATGACAATGCGTTTGCGGACTAATTGTATGCATTGAGTATTTCAGACATTTCATCACTAGGCACAAGACAATGTGGTGCCCCCCGGAGACTATTGAAGACGGTGTTTCTCTACGTTTCTTTTCGGTAGATTTGAGTCATAGGAAAGCCGTACTATTAAGAGGGGGTCCGCTTTGAAAAGGTTTGGGTGGAATCATCACGTACACGTCTACTCCTTTGCACCGCCTTTCCTTTGGCACTTTGAAGCATCCTCCGTCTTTTCTTGTCTATGCAAAATGTCGTGTTTGCTGATCTGGGGCATGCGGTAGTACTGCTCCTAGGAGCGGTAGTACCGCAGGCCCTTGCGGTAGTACAACAAGTGCCCACGGTAGTACCGCTTCCTTGGAGCAGTAGTATTGTGGTCTCAGGCCAGGTGCTGCTGCTATTGCAGTAGTAGGGGCGGATGTAATTTTTTACACCCGCGCCCTATGCGGTAAACCATGCCAGGTGCGCGGTAGTACCGTGCGCTCTGGCCAGGCTCAGCAGCTTGCACGACAGTAGGAGCGGATGTAATTTTTTACATCCACACCCCACGCGGTAGTACCGCTCCTGGCTTGCAGTACTACTGATACGTCTCCAACGTATCTATAATTTTTGATTGCTCCATGCTATATTATCTACTGTTTTGAATGTTTATGGGCTTTATTATACACTTTTATATCATTTTTGGGACTAACCTATTAACCCAGAGCCCAGTGCCAATTTCTGTTTTTACCCTGTTTTAGGGTTTTGAAGAAAAGGAAAATCAAACGGGGTCCAATTGACCTGAAACTTCACGGAACTCATTTTTGGAAGGAAAGAAGCCCAGAAGACTTGGAGTGCACGTCGGGGGACCTGCGAGGAGGCCACGAGGCAGGGGGCGCGCCCACCCCCTAGGCGCGCCCTCCACCCTCATGGGCGCCTCGTGGCCCCCCTGACGTACTTATTCCGCCTATATATCTCCATATACCCTAAAAACATCCGTGAGCACAATAGATCGGGAGTTCCGCCGCCAGAAGCCTCCGTAGCCACTGAAAACCAATCTAGACCCGTTCCGGCACCCTGCGGGAGGGGGAATCCTTCTCCGGTGGCCATCTTCATCATGCCGGCGCTCTCCATGACGAGGAGGGAGTAATTCTCCCTTGGGGCTGAGGGTATGTACCAGTAGCTATGTGTTTGATCTCTCTCTCTCTCTCGTGTTCTTGAGGTGATACGATCTTGATGTATCGTGAGCTTTGCTATTATAGTTGGATCCTATGATGTTTCCCCCCCCCCCTCTACTCTCTTGTAATGAATCGAGTTTCCCCTTTGAAGTTATATTATCGGATTAAGTCTTTAAAGATTTGAGAACACTTGATGTATGTCTTGCCTTGGATATCTGTGGTGACAATGGGATATCACGTGATTCACTTGATGTATGTTTTGGTGATCAACTTGCGGGTTCCTCCCATGAACCTATGCATAGGGGTTGGCACATGTTTTCGTCGTGATTCTTCGGTAGAAACTTTGGGGCACTCTTTGAGGTCCTTTGTGTTGGTTGAATAGATGAATCTGAGATTGTGTGATGCATATCGTATAATCATACCCACGCATACTTGAGGTGACATTGGAGTATCTAGGTGACATTAGGGTTTTGGTTGATTTGTGTCTTAAGGTGTTATTCTAGTACGAACTCTAGGGCTGTTTGTGACACTTATAGGAATAGCCCAACGGATTGATTGGAAAGAATAACTTTGAGGTGGTTTCGTACCCTACCATAATATCTTCGTTTATTCTCCGCTATTAGTGACTTTGAGTGACTCTTTGTTGCATGTTGAGGGATAGTTATGTGATCCAATTATGTTAGTATTGTTGAGGGAACTTGCACTAGTGAAAGTATGAACCCTAGGCCTTATTTCCTATCATTGCAATATCGTTTACGCTCACTTTTATCATTAGTTACCTTGCTGTTTTTATAATTTCAGATTACAAATACCTTTATTTACTATCCATATACCACTTGTTTCACCATCTCTTCGCCGAACTAGTGCACCTATACAATTTACCATTGTATTGGGTGTGTTGGGGACACAAGAGACTCTTTGTTATTTGGTTGCAGGATTGCTTGAGAGAGACCATCTTCATCCTACGCCTCCTACGAATTGATAAATCGTAGGTCATCCACTTGAGGGAAATTTGCTACTGTCCTACAAACCTCTGCACTTGGAGGCCCAACAACGTCTACAAGAAGAAGGTTGTGTAGTAGATATCAACTACCGTGCCGGATTTTTACATAGATCCCAACTCAGCAGAAGTTGCCATGGATGTATCTTTATATGTTCGTGCCTTCCCAAAATCTGGACCATCCCTTCCTTGCGGTAGTATCACAAGGGGGAGCGATAGTACCGCGCCAGCGGTTCTACCGCCCTCTGCTTCATTGCATCTGGGATGTTCTGGTTTCTGCTGCTTGGGCGGTAGTACCGCGGGGCCCTGTGGTGGTATTGTGTGCCCTTGCGGTAGTACCGCGTCCCCGGCGCGGTAGTACCGTGCTACGCAGGCTGACTTGGTGGATAACAGTTGAATTTGTTCTTCCACTATATAAGGGGTGTCTTCTTCTCCGAGTTGACCACCTCTTCCATCCCCAAGCTCCATTGTTGCTCCAAGCTCCATTTTCGCCCGGTCTCTCACCCTAGCCAATCAAACTTGTAGATTTTCTAGGGATTGGTTGAGAAGGCCCCGATCTACACTTCCACCAAGAGAAATTTGATTCCCCCACATTTTCCTTTGCGGATCTTGTTACTCTTGGGTGTTTGAGCACCCTAGACGGTTGAGGTCACTGCGGAGCCATATTCCATTGTGGTGAAGCTTTGTGGTGTTGTTGGGAGCCTCCAATTAAGTTGTGGAGATAGCCTCAACCTTGTTTGTAAAGGTCCGGTCGCCGCCTCCAAGGACACCAATAGTGGAATCGCGGCATCTCACATTGTGTGAGGGCGTGAGGAGAATACGGTGGCCCTAATGGCTTCTTGGGGAGTATTGTGCCTCCACACCGCTCCAACGGAGACATACTTCCCCTCAAAAGGAAGGAACTTCGGTAGCACATCCCCGTCTTCACCGGCTCCACTCTTGGTTATCTCGTGCCTTTACTTGTGCAAGCTTATTTGTGTTATATCCCTTGCTTGATTGTGTACTTGTTCTTGTTACATCATATAGGTTGCTCACCTAGTTGCATATCTAGACAACCTATTTTCATGCAAAGTTTAAA